GAGTTGGTGCAGAAGTATCTTCAGGGAACCAAAGGTCGAGCATTGACTCCAGTCCATGAACTTTGGGTAAAGTCCCTACTTGCCATATGTAATCGGTTTAGGAGAATTCCAATGGCTGGTCGCATTTGAAAAAATCGGATCTGTGCCATTCAGACTGTCATAAAAAGATTGGATACAGGTCACATAGAATCAGATTTGGGTCACTTGGTCCACAGTCTTTCATGTTAAGATATGTGTTAAATCTTAGCTGGCCCGTATGGGGATCGAACCCATGACCTTGGCGTTATTAGCACCACGCTCTAACCAACTGAGCTAACCGGCCATGATTTCTGTTAGTCACTTTGACTCTTAGTAAAGTCAGAAAAGTCTGGTGATACAATGATTTGCTACTGCACATGAGAATATTTTCGATTGGAGTTGGTGCAGAAGTATCTTCAGGGAACCAAAGGTCGAGCAATTGACTTCCAGTCCGTGAACTTTGGGTAAAGTCCACCACTTGCTATAACAGAGTAAAATACTTCAGAATGTCTTAGGAGAAGTCTTTAAATTGATGCTTTCCAAACATGAAATCAAGTCTGAAATGTGTCAACAACACAGTGTTGCATCAACCCCGTAAATTCTAGTTCATTCTGCAAATAGGAGGTGATAAGTTTCGCTTCAAAGCATTGGTCCACAGACATCAGTCTTTCATGATATGTGTTAAAAGTAAGCTGGCCCGTATGGGGATCGAACCCATGCCCTTGGCGTTATTAGCACTACGCTCTAACCAACTGAGCTAACCGGCCATTTTTTGTGTGAATCACTTTGACTCTTAGAATTTTTATAGCAAAGTTAGAAAAGACTCCCCACCCACCCGGAGAGGGCAAGCCACCTTTTTCCGGTCGAGAACCATGGCCTCAGACTTAGAAGATCCCAGCCGCTTCACACTCGGCTGCAAACCGCCCCAGTGCACATTGCAGGTCCTGGTTCGATGAAGCCAACAGGACAACATCATCCGCAATAACAGCAGAGATGAGATCCTGTGGTCCCCAAAACCGGACCCCCTCCGGCCCCTGACTGCGCCTAGAAATTTCTGTCCATAAAAACAATGAACAGAACCGGTGACAAAGGGCAGCCCTAGCGGAGTCCAACATGCACCGGGAACAGGTCTGATTTACTGCCCGCAATGCGAACACAGCTCCTGCTCCGGTCATACAGGGACCGGACAGCCCTTAGCAAAGGGCCCCAGACCCCATACTCCCAGAGCACCCCCACAGGACACCATTGAGGGACACGGTCAATGCCTTCTCCAAGTCCACAAAGCACATGTGGACTGGTTGGGCAAACTCCCATGAACCCTCGAGCACCCGATGGAGAGTTGTAGAGCTGGTCCAGTGTTCCACGGCCAGGACGAAAACACACTGCTCTTCCTGGATCCGAGGTTCGACTATCGGCCGGATTCTCCTCTCCAGTACCCTGGCATAGACCTATACCGGGAAGGCTTGAGGAGGTGATTCCCTATAGTTTGGAACACACCCTCCGATCCCCCTTCTTATACAGAGGGAGACCACCGGGTTTTGCCAGCCCAGAGGTACTGTCCCGACCGCCACCGATGTTGAAGAGGCGTGTCAGCCAAGACAGCCCCACAACATCCAGAGACTTAGGTACTCAGGACGGATCTCATCAACCCCGGAGCCTTGCCACCAAGGAGCTTTCCAACCACCTCGGTGACTTCAGCCAGGGTGATGGATGAGTCCGCCTCCGAGTCCCCAGTCTCGGCCTCCTCCTCGGAAGACGTGACGGTGGGATTGAGGAGATCCTCAAAGTATTCCTTCCACTGCCGGACAACTTAGGAGAAGTGTTTAAATTATGCTTTCCACGCATGAAATCAAGTCTGAAATGTGTCAACAACACAGTGTTGCATCAACCCCATAAAGTTCTAGTTCATTCTGCAAATAGGAGGTGATAAGTTTTGCTTCAGAGCATGGTTTGAGATGAAAGCATTGGTCCACAATCATCAATTTTCCATGTTATGATATGTGTCAAATCCCAGCTGGCCCGTACGGGGATTGAACCCATGACCTTGGCGTATCTTGGCCTATGTATCAAGATATGTATCATATCTTGGCCTATGTATCAAGATATGTATCGTATCTTGGCCTATGTATCAAGATATGTATCGTATCTTGGCCTATGTATCAAGATATGTATCGTATCTTGGCCTGTGGTATCAGATATGTATCGTATCTTTGGCCTATGTATCATGTAGATATGTATCGTATCTTGGCCTGTGTATCAAGATATGTATCGTATCTTGGCCTATGTATCAAATATGTATGCGTATGTGGCCTATGTATCAAGATAATTTGCATCGTATCTTGGCCTATGTATCGAGGTATGTATCGTATCGTGGCCTATGTATCGAGATATGTATCGTATCGGTAACTTCTTAATGATACCCAGCCATAATTCCCAGTAGCACTTGGACAATGTACAATCCACTTACAAAACAATAGCGACAGAATCAAACATCTGGAGACGCTACTTCATCTGATTCACAAGTTTACCAAATCATTACAAAGTGTACCCGACTTGTTTTTTTCTCGTAAATGAATTATACTGTTTATATTTTCCCTATAGATTCTACTGTAACTTAGTGAAGGGACAAGATCTCATGCCACTTTTACGTGCACATAGGTGACTCTCACGATATGTTTATTCCTCGTGTTTACTTTTGCCAAGTGCTGCTGAGTTACATCTCTTGAGAAAAGCAGTGCTACAATGAGAGTAAAACAAAAGTAATTACAAATCGTGTGGCTGGCCGAAAACAGGAACCGAGCCGCTCTATTTATTTATTGTCCATTTTTCCGTGGCCTTCAGCACTCGGGGAAAAAAGAGGTTAAATTTAAATACACTTTCTCCTTTCACGGTTTGGAAAAGGTACTCCATCTTTAAGTAAGTAGTTTTAGAGTTTTTTAATCAAGGTTTGTAGATGTTTTTAGTCATTGAAAGTTCTTTGGAGAGTGTTTGTGCGTCTGGTCTGCTGTGCATGTGTGCGTCCTCTCGCTGTGTCCTCTGCGGCTTTGGGAATCGCTTTGATGATGCAACTGTTTTCACTCACGACTCGGGACGTTCTTCAGTGAGCTACTTCCTTTTCTTTCTCACATTATCTTAGAATCACACATGGGTTATTTTAGCCTAATGGTTTTCTACTGAACCAACAGCTCCCATTGTATTGTGAGATCATGTAAGCTGCAAAGTATTTGTCGTTCAGGCTATTAAAGGTGCATTGTGTAACTTTTCTCTTTTCTGGTGGACAGTCTGTCAAATGCTTTTCTCCGTGGAGATGTTATTGCTTTGCGTCACATTCTTGATTAAAATTTTTAGTCTGGTATTAAACCTTTCTATCTTCATGGAGACCAAACCGGACCGAGTTATAGTTACAGTTCAGATCTGTGGAGAGGCGGCCCCGCTCACAGTCAGAATGCCTGTTTTTCTAGGTATTTTTGAGCTATAAAACCAGCAAATGTAATGTGAAATTCAAAATATTATAAGTGGAGCTACGTAATGTCATACTGTGGAACATTCCAGGCAGAGCAATGACATATCCATAGAAACAAACAGGCTATGGACCTCCAACTAAAAAGTTACATAGTGCACCTTTAAAATAATATAATAATATCTACTGTAATTTTCGGATTATAAAGTCCGCCGGATTATAAGGCGAAAGAGAAAGCAAAACAAGCTCAGTTGGTAGAGTGTTTGTCCACTGATTTGAAGGTTGGCGGTTCACATCCTGCTCTCAACATAAACAGTGGTCAAATCCTCTGACCCACATGTTGGCGGTGCGATTCCAGCTCCCACAGATGAATACTGTCGTTGTGTCCTTACTTTGCCCCCAGTGTCTGTGTACACTGGTGTATGAAAGTGTGTGTGAATGGGTGAATGGTTTCATGATATAAAGTGATTTGAGTGCCTTGAAGGTGAAAAAAAAAACCTCTCCATTTTACCAAAACAGTTACACCTGTATCTCTGAGGCTTTTTGTATCAACACAATCTGAGCAGAAACAGCTGATTTAGTTGGAACTACAACAGATGAACTACAACAGATTCGTGTGTTTAAACAAGTCTCTTACACAGAAAAATACAATCACAAGCTAACTAAGTTTGTGCTGTTGAAATCCATCCATCCATTTTCTTCCACTTATCCGGGGCCAGGTCACGGGGGCAGCAGTCTAAGCAGGGACTCCCAGAGTTCCCTCACCCCAGACACTTCCTCCAGCTCCTCCGGGGGGGTGGGGGGAGCTGGAGGAAGTGTCCCAGGCCAGCCCAGAGACATAGTCCCTCCAGTGTGTCCTGGGTCTTCCCCGGGGCCTCCTCCCAGTGGGACATGTCTGGACACCTCCCGAGGGAGACGCCTAGGAGGAATCCAGAGCAGATGCTCAAGCCACCTCAACTGCTCCTCTCAACGTGAAGGAGCAGCAGCTCTACTGAAAGCTCCTCCTGTGTGACTGAGCACCTACCCTGTCTCTAAGGGAGCGCCCAGCCCCCCTGCGGAGGAAACTCATTTTGACCGCTTGAATCCGCGATCTCGTCCTTTCGGGCATTACCCAGAGTTCATGACCATAGGTGAGGGGAGGAACGTAGACCTTTGGTAAATCGAGAGTTTTGTCTTTCGGCTCAGCTCCCTCTTCACCACAACCGTCCAATACAGCGAACACATTACTTCCGATTGTTTAAATACATTTTGTATTTTTTCTTGAGTTTTCAGATAATTGAGTGTTTGTTAATGTGTACATTGTGGAACCATGGTCACTGCTGAATATTCTACCATAGAGACCCCAACCAGCATGACATCACTCCAAATTATCAATTATCACTTTTTTTTCCCTTAAAGTTATGATCTGGAATGAATTTTGTAAGTGGTGAAAAAATATGTACTGCTAAATACTTAACATACTTTTTTTTTTTTTTTTTTTAAGAGACGAGAGTAAACGTTGTCTGTGTTCTTCTCTTCGCAGACGACAGGAAAGATGGACGAGAACATGTTTGTGGCCGTGACCAGCACAAACGCAGCCAAGATCCTGAACCTGTACCCGCGGAAGGGACGAATCGCCGTGGGCTCCGACGCAGACCTGGTCATCTGGGACACCGACGCCGTCCGCACCATCACCGCCAAAACACACAACTCGGTATGACACGAAAACACTCTCCAATCAGTAAAACAACTCCCTGGATTTATTTTCAGCTTCATATCTTGACAGCTCTGGCTTCTAGTTTGAAAAATTTGTCTTGTCGCAGTACAGATATATTGTATAAGCAGCACGTCAAAATAAGTCCGCTGCGTGACATCTGCGTCGAGTTATCGCATTTTATTGTCCGATAATCAGGAAGTACACGGTAACATGCTAGTTGTCATGTTATGCTGTCTTTACCGTGTTGGCAATACACCGTTCTGGCCTCTGAAATTTGTGAAACTTTGCAGCTTATGCCATCAAGTTTCGTTGGGGGTGTGAAGCTAACTGAAGCACTACTCTGTCTGAAGCTCTGATACTCGAGTTAGACTTTAATCTGAGCTGAGGCTGTGCAATGAATTGAATATTGATCACAATTTTGATTTGTGTGTCAAACAATCTCCAGATTCATATAATCGAGTTGAAATGAAAAAGCTTAAAGTTTATTTTGGGCTGAATATATAGTTTATTTTGGATATATTTATACCTTATTTCATCTTCAAAGTATATTTTATTAATTTTATGTTCGATACATCACAAAACTATTCTAAGGTTCATATTTGTAGCCTATATTTATTTTAGTTTTGCGTAAATTATCAATAACAAAGTGTTTTTTTTAGAGAGAAATGCTGAATAAATGCATCATGTTAACTAAAAAATAATGGTTTGAATAATCGTGATTTCAATATTGACCAAAATAATCGTGATAATGATTTTTTCTATAATCGAGCAGCTCTAGTCTGAGCTTTATTTTGACACAGTCTGACCAGAAAGAGTTGACTAAGCTGGAACTACAAGATCGCATTAGCCAAGTTTTTGTTTGTTTGTTTGTTTGTTTGTTACCATGAACACGTAGCCTGATTCATCAGCCGGTTTTACTTTGTGACCTCGCAGCATTAGGTTTCATTCGCTCGACAGTAGGCGGGTGCTTTTTTTATTTAACCAATCGCTGCTATTTGGTCGTGATGTATGTAACGCGCCGCTAACGAGGCTAACTGGTATATTAAGCTTTTCCCAAATCCCGTAGGAAGAAGGACAATAACGTCTTTCCCCTTGATAAAATTCACCCAATATTCTCTTTGTTCCCGCTTTAAATCTTCGATCTCAGGAATCGTTGCCAACATTAAATACATGGCTCTTCAGTGAACTTGCACTTCCGGGGTTTTTGTGAACCGTCTAGTGCAGGGGTGGGCAAAGTACGGCCCGGGGGCCCTTTAAACCTTTTAATCCGGCCCGCCGAACTGGAATAAATTACAATAATAAACCTTGTTGATGTTTTATTTTTCATGCATTTCCGGCGTTTCCCAGTAGATGGCGCACTATATATGTATACATTGAGGTGTGCCGTATTATGTTGGCTGAAATGCTTTATGGGAAAGTGTTCTTACAGGAGTTATTCGGACCATGAGTGAAGTAGTTTTGTTCAAGATATAACTTTGCACTGCTTCCATTTTGAGTTGGTAAAAACCAAGAACGAGAACTTTATAGACATTGTCTTATAAGACTTAACACACAGAACGTCTTAAGAATCTTCTTGAATCGCAAGTGACTTCGCAGCATGGGTTCTGTTTCTTTGTAATATCTAATTCCTCACGAGTCACCTTCACCTGTGGTGTGCAGTGGAGCGGATCTGTTGATTTTTGTGTGTTCACGGCAATGTTGTAGTGTGTAGTGCGCTTCCTACATAAGCGTAAATACGAATATAACGCAGCTTAGGTCTTAACACGTCATGTCCTGTGTTCTTTCCGGCCCTTCAGGCAAATTTTAGGATCCTATGTGGCCCGCGAGCTAAAAAGTTTGCCCACCCCTGGTCTAGTGTATGCTGATTCCTGATCTCGTCGCTGGAGAGAAATGAAATTTAGCGGAGGCACCAGGTGGCTAATGAACACGTGTATTGGTGTTTTAATCAGACTATTTGTTTGCCATCGTGTGCATTGTTTCACCGGTAACTCCTCATCGGTGACCATTATACGCAGGACAGTCCCAGTTTTGACCCTGTGTCCCCGTCCCTACAAATTTATACAAAACCAGTGATTTGTCCCAGTTTTAGACAAGAAATGTCCCAGGTGTCTATATTTTTGACCAATTTGACACCTGCCATCAGTAAAGAGAGGCATAAATTGTCATTTGTTGTAGGTAAAATACAGAAAAGCTGCTTAAAAATGACCAAAACGGAAAGAAAATGTGATTGTACTGACTCACATGTTAGTCAGGAATGGGCTGAGTGCAGAACAATTTTCTGTAATTACACACTCATTTCACAATTGTATTATTACAAACCGCCCCAAACCAGGTGTCCCAGTTTTTGATTTTGAAAATCCGGTCAATCTAGACATCGACATACATGTGGAACACACAGATAACTCTTCTAAAAAAGCCTGAACTCTGCTCCACATCAAATGCTTTTACTGACACGGGACTGGCTCTGGCCCCTGAAGCCGATCATTGACCATTAAACACGACGGAATTTTTATCTAGATTGAAATTCGATTCACTCACTCTTCAGAAAACCAGATCATTATGTGTTCTAAAAATGTGCTACAATCACAATTTTTAATTTTTTTTTCCAAATTGTGCAATGGAATGTTCCACAGTGTGACATTAAACAGCTCTATTTTATTTTATTTTTTTAAATTTATGTTTATTAAGGACATCACAATCGCATTAGACAAGCCAGATGCAAAAAACAAAGATACAAGACAAATAAGTTACATACAGATAAAATATATACAGTACATTTTCAGTGGATGTGTTTTTGATCGGAAACATACAATAATTTTAATTTCCTTTTAAAATTGTTGTTATTGGTTTCCAGTTTTAAATGAGCTGGTAAACCGTTCCGCAGACTGGCCCCTTTAAAAAAAACAACAAAAAAACGAGGACTGACCAAGAGCCGACCTGTACGTAGGAACAATACAATTACCACTAGTAGCGCCTGTCGTGTTCGCTCTACATTTATTCAATTACAGGTGGTTTTATAGCTCAGAAACGCCTAGAAAAACAACATTCTGCGGGGCGGCCTCTCCGCAGATCTGACCTGTAACTCGGTCATCCATCTTTGGTCTCCGTTATGATAAAAAGTTTTAATGCCATACTGCGAAAACACACTGCGAAACATTCCAGACGAAGCATCTCCACAGACAAAAGCATTTGATGGACTCTCCACCAGAAAAGTTACACAATGCACCTTTAAAGAGAGGATACAGTTTTAAGTTTTTAGTCGTACATTCTTTTGACGCATACAGCAGTTCCTAACAATATATAAGAAGTAGCTTTTGTGAACCTACCTTCTTCTTCAGATACTCTCCCACTGTATTTTTAATGAGCCTGGACTCGTATAAAAACCTTTGCCTTAGGTCCTTGTAAAAAGCATTACGTTGAGTTCAAATGTAATGGGAGATTTGTCCATGTTGCATTTGCACATGTGTTTGTATTTGTGAGAAACAAGCTGAGACACAGGAATGTCTGAGCTGCTGCCAGACACTTATCAGGTCCTTTAGACACAAATAAATCCACACTTTTTACAAGAAGCTTTCACGGACTTTTTCAGGTTCACGTTACAGTCGAAAGCAGCTACTCCAGTTCTAAACCCGGACTAAACCAGGTCTGGATTAGCACGGTTGATACTTTGCAGCTGATGTCATGACTATTCACTGTGGTGTGATGTCAATGTAGGCACTGCTCTGTCTGAAGTTCTGTTACACTTTAATCCGACCAGAAAGACCTGATTTACACATGAAATTACAGTCACAAGCGAACTAGCATCACCTAACAGTTTTTCAGTTTAGTCACTCTCAAACCCATCCATCCATTTTCTTCTGCTTATCCGGGGTCAGGCCGGGGGCAGCAGTCTAAGCAGGGACTCCCAGACTTCCCTCACTTCCCTCAGTTTGTCCTGGGTCATCCCCGGGGCCTCCTCCCAGTGGGACATGCCCGGAACACCTCCCGAGGAAGGCGCCCAGGAGGCATTAAGAACAGATGCTCGAGCCACCTCAGCTGCTCCTCTCGATGTGGAGGAGCAGCGACTCTACTCCGAGCTCCTCTTGTGTGACCGAGCTCCTCACTCTATCTCTAAAGGGCCGTTCTCACCAAAGCGTCAAAAAACGCCTTGACGCCTCTATTTGGACGCCTTTGCATTTGAGTTTAGACGCCCCCGACGCGCGTCCGTTGCCCTGGAAACAAGAGCCCGGTCCTGGTCTTTTCCCGAAACAATGTCAGACCAGACTGAGAGAGTGTTTTTATGACATAAAACATTAGCAGAGGAGATCGGGTCGACGACTGGTGTGTATATATATTTATACTCCGCTAATGACACTGGATCAGTCTCGGTCTAGTCCTGGTCTAATCACGGTCTAGTCCCGGTCTAGTCGTGGTTTAATCTCGGTCTATTCAGGGTCTAGTCCTTGTTTAGTCCCGGTCTAGTCCTGGTTTAGTCCTGGTCTAGTCTCGGTCTAGTCCTTGTTTAGTCCCGGTCTAGTCCTGGTTTGATCCCGGTCTAGTCTCGGTCTAGTCCTTGTTTAGTCCTGGTTTAGTCCTGGTCTAGTCCTGGTTTAGTCCTGGTCCGGTCCTGGTGTAGTCTTCGCAATCGGCTTGATGTTTGTGGTGTATATATTTATTCTCCGCTCATGTTTGTGGTTCTCTCTCTGGTTCTTGGGTTTTTCTTCCTGATAATAACGTCGCTGCGTCACTGGATACTCGTCCCTGATTGGTCGACGCGGCTCGTCTGACGCAAAAAGTTCAGCATTTTCAGCTTCTTGACGCTGACGCCTTGGACGCGTGTCTTGCCCGCTGACGCCAAAACGCTCAAGACGCGCCGCGTAGACGCCAGATTCGCGCCGCACTGACGCCGAAAATGCAGGAAGCTCTAGTCGCGCATCCACATAGACTTTACATTGAAAGTGGACGCTTTGACGCCTTGGTGCGAACGGCCCTTAAGGGAGCGCCCAGCCACCCTGCGG